CACACACACACACACACACACACACACACACACACACACACACACACAAATCAAATCCACTTTGTTTGTGTACATTGAACACTGTTGTGGTCTGAAGTTCGCAACATGAGCACTACAACCCCCTGCACACTTTGTCCCTGCAATCACACTCTGAAATATTCGGGGCTCGTCGTGCGATTCACCACTTACAATGGCACTTTGCACAGGGGTCCTTCTCGTACTCCAGCAGCTCTGCAGCACGACTGCGAACACTGGTGCTCCTTCGCAGTCCTCCGCCGTCCCGCACTCCTCCGTCCCGTAGGCGGGCCGCTTCCTCCTTGGCATACACACCCAGCTCCTGGGTGTACCGCCCGTACATCTGCGTGCGTGAAAGACAGAAAAAGACAGCTTTTATACGGTCGGCGCAAGTGGGAGGCAGTGAAAGAAATACAGTGTTGGATCAAGGTGAAGATAGTCATCTTGTTTAAACACACTAATATTCAAATTCAGAGTATACAGGTGTCAGACAAATCACTGCCTGCAACTCACAGCTCTCCCCCCCCAAAAAAAAAACAACAACAGCAGTGTAACGACTTCTTCTCAGACAATAAGCTTCACCTGTCAGCTCCCAGCTGATTAACTCTGCAGGGCTGCCACACAGTTGACTCCTAACGATGAGAGGCGGACTTCCCAGCGAACAACGCATGATCGATCAGGTATAAAGTCTGCGTCAGAGCTGTAGGTGATTATATCGCAGCTTTGGTGCATTGTATAGTTACTGATACAGCAATGGAGCTTTTCAAGTGCCTGTTCAGTGTGGTGGTGGTTGCTCTTTTGGCTTGTGATGTTACTGCCCAGAATTACTGGTCAATGCCTCTGCAGGAACACCAAGCTCCTCTTCCTACTCAGCAACAGCCGACTGTCCCTCCAGCTGCAGCTCCCTTGGAGAAGTGCCAGGTTGAGCAGGGAGACAAGATCCAGTGTGGGACTCCAGACACCACCACCGAGCTCTGCGAGAACTTAAACTGCTGTTTTGATGGGAGCCATTGCTACTATGGGAACGCAGGTAACTCTGCACTCTGCTGCTGTTCTAGTGCTTCTCAAACAAATGGTGAGTGTGAAATATCTGCTGCAACTAAGAAATTCACCCGTGTGTTTTTGTTGTTTTTCCCCTCATCTAGTGACTGTGCAGTGTACCAGGGATGGCCAGTTTGTGGTGGTTGTGGGTCGAGATGCTACTGTGCCCAAAATAGATGTGGAGTCAGTCAGCCTGCTAGAGATGAACGATCCCCCCTGCACCCCTGTAGACTTCACCTCTGCTTTTGCCATCTTTCAGTTCCCTGTGACTGGATGTGGCACGACATTCAAGGTAGTTGGTCCATGCTTTAGCTAATATGTGATAAGTTCAACATGGTGGAAGTCTGGCACTAAATAACTTTTCACAATATAAAATGGAGGAATGTCCAGCATGAACGTGTTTCCCCCTGGCCCAAGATGCCCGATACCCAGAGATTCAGTTTAAAATGAGAAATCTGCTTGAAACCACATGTCTGCCATGTTTTTGTCTTTTGCAGGACGAAGAGGATTATGTGGTGTACGAGAACCACATGTCTTCCTCATATGAAGTGGGAGTTGGACCCAGAGGATCTATCACCAGGGACAGCCATTTTGAGTGAGTTTGTACAAAATGGATATTGTTTTGTGGTTCTGAGAGGTAAAAGTCCTCTGCTCTCTTCCCCCCCCCCCCCCTCCCCAACAGGTTATTGTTTCAGTGTCGGTATTCTGGCGCAGGAGTGGAGGCTCTTGTCATGGATGTGACTGGTGTTCCTCCGCCTGTGCCCGTCGCTGCTGCCGGACTCCTCAGAGTGCAGCTCAGACTGGGCAATGGACAGTGTCACAAAAAGGGATGTGTGGAGGGTGAGCGGCACGACAGCCTTGTAACGATGTTTGCTATTGCAGAATTTTTGCCATACTACAACTGATGTGTCTTGCTTGCAGAAAACGCAGCGTACAGCTCCTTCTACACTCAAGCAGACTACCCAATCACTAAAGTGCTGAGGGAACCAGTCTACGTTGAGGTGAACATCCTGGAGCGCTCTGACCCAAACATCTTCCTGAACCTGGAGCACTGCTGGGCCACCTCCAGCCCCAATCCTGAAAGCATGCCACAGTGGGATCTTCTGATTGATGGGTATATATATGAAAAAAGGCTTTCCTAAAATGATTGTGTAAATTTCTGTTTTTAAATTCTGTGTTCAACATGAGCTCTTGTTGGCTCCAGGTGTCCCAACCAGGATGACCGTTACCTGACCACCATGGTGCCTATTGATGGCTCCTCTGGGCTAAGTTACCCAACGCACCACAAGCGTTTTATCGTTAAAATGTTCACGTTTGTGGATCAAAGTGACTTTTCCCCTCAAAGAGACACGGTACAATAATTCATGGCCTGATGATGACAGTCATTTATTTATTTTTTTGTCATCTGAATTCCTTGACAAAATCTGAAACTTTCCAGGTGTTCATCCATTGTTCCGCGGAAGTGTGTTATCCCAGCAGCACATACGGGTGTGAACAGTCATGCCACCGTCAACGTGAGTAGATTGACTAACAAATTGTGATATCATCTTTTTTTTTTTTTTTTTTTTTTTTTTTTTAAGTTTATAGATTAAGTAACTCTGGATTGCCAAACAATGTGTTGAAATTCAGTGTTCTTGCTATAAGCTTCATTAAACCATGACAGGCTGCCCAATAAATCATTGGTGCCACGATCCTGGATTAAACTCTATGAATTGTAATTTGGGGGGTTGAAAAAATATATTTTGGCTTGACTAATTATGTATCACAATTGCCATTTGTCAGCTTAAAAACTTGACTCATCTATTGACTGCTGCACTTTCCATCCTTCTCTTGCAGGAAGAGCTGTAGCTGCCGGGAGGAAGGTTCCCTCAAATTGGAGGGCTCTGGTCTCAAGCGGAGAGGTGATCCTGACTAAGCAGAGGACATAAGCTACAAATGCCAAATCTAAGCAATGATTCCACTTGCTGACTTCTAATAAAAGGTCATGCTTACAATTTGGTCTTGGCTGAGTTGTTAATTGAAGGTCACTCGCTATACTTTCTCTTTTTTTTTGCTTGCTGAGGTAGCTTTTGTTCAGAGGTAGTACAGATGAGCATGTAATGCAATCACAAGGTTGCATTAACTGAGAACTGAAAGTTTAAATGTGACTCTATAATGCAGAGCCAGTGATCAGCTGTGACGAGAACTTAAATGTAAAAGTGGTTGGGGAAATGTTGCACTTACACTAAACCAGTTTTACAGTACAGGTGTTACGGCATGAGGTGAATCTCTTTACCTTTTCATCTATCTATCGCACCACAACTCTTTCAGGCTCACTGCTAGTCTCCTTCCTGCCCCCTCTTTATTTTCTCATAACAGGCCCTCTAGGGTTCTCTGTATGCTACAACTTCCAACATCTCTCCTCCACTGCCCTGCGCACCCCCTCCCTCTTTGTCCCACTCCAACCTGTCCATCCCCTCCCCTCATTGAGATGGGCATCACGACTCCTCCAGACTCGCTCTTTCTGCTCGCATGCACAGGAGGTGCAGAGGGAAAGCCGAGCGGCAGTATAGTTGCTTACTAGCAGTGAGAACGGGGGCGCTCATCTCTATCCGCTTTAACCTCCAACCTGCCGGGAAGCATTTAAGCCAAATTGTAGCTGTACATCATCGGACGGCACGGCCTCGTGTCGGTGAGAAAACCATAGGGGAATGGGTGCCAGCTGACAAACACTTAACTGCTGATGTGTGAACATGTCAGTGGAGTGAAATGTAAATTTGCTTTGCCACTGGTTCAAAAAAAATGCTGTCAATTAAAAGCAAATTGGTGGACGCAGTGTAGTCTGTGTGGTTTGCATGCTAAATACTAGAATTAAGCAAATTAGTCAGTGAAAACTAACGGCATTCAGGTGAAACTGGGCTTCTACACTATCGTATTTAAAAAAATCCAGAGTCTTTTGATAAATTATAAATAAGTCTTCTGTCTACATTTCTTTAGAGCTATTGAGGTGGATTCTGTTTTAAGCTGAAATGAAACTTGGTATTCCAGTTTTGAGGGACTCGACCTTCACATCAGTTTGGTGTAAATTCTAAAACTCAGTAAGGCATTCAAATGTGTAATTTCAAGTAATTATGTTTTGCTTTTTCCCTTTAATGGAGTAACAGTCGAGATGCAGAAACAAAGTGAGAGCATTCAACAAAGGCCCCCAGCCAGAACTAAACCAGTGTGGTTTTATTTTTCATACAGAAACATTTTGCACACAGTTGGAAAAAGGTATACACAGAATCTGAAAAACCAAAAATGAAGACGGTTCTTTGCCAAAAGAGAATCAACATGGCTGTTTCCTAAATTAAATGGCCTACATCGGTCAACTTTTAAAGATCTTGACCAATGACGTAATGCATGGAAGAAAGGAACAGGTTTTCCTGCTTATCTGGTCCATTTTATTTTATCACTACACTAGGATATTAAGATTTTGCTTAGTGAATCTTGTGTGTTGGCAAACAAATTTTCACGCAGCATAGAGGCACACAAACCCACCACCAACACTAGACAAACACCCACTGGGAGTATAAACGGGCCTGTTAGTGATTCTTTCTTTGGCCAGTGTGAAAGCAATCGCTGGCCATCTGGAGCATGGACCCTTGGGAGAGCACCAGGTGGGACCATGTGGGTTAAATAGGCTGTTATCTGTAACCAGTTCACCTCCCACGTGATCAACTTCTGCATCTACATTAGTCAGTTTACCTCCCACATCACAACGCTCGACACCGGCTCAACTCCGGCCTCCCACAGGTTGCTATTGACTGGTTTGTCAGAGACCAAAATGCCGACAGAGAAGAGTTCCAGTTCGGCGCAAAATAATTTCACAAATAAACTGGTGTAAAAAAAGATGAAAGACAATCCAACTCGCATTCATCTAACTAATTCAATTGGACAAGATACAATTTGGTCAAAAAGGAGAGGAAGTCTGAGTGGAGTTGAGGAACAGCAGCTATCGTGAATGGGTCACCTGCAATTCTCATAGTTGCCGCCTGGAAACAAATGAGGAAAAAGTCAAATGAACTATTTAGACCCAACTACCTGTGGAAGAAAGTACTGACTTTTTATCTGGTGAGAAACTGCAGCCTGTGAGTCTTTTGCAGCACCTTTACCACTCAGAGGTGCAGCTTTTGTTCAGTCATGTCCAGATATTTTTGAGAATACGAGGCGATGACCATCTCTGCTGAGATAAAACAAAAATATGCATTAATATTGTGAATTTGGTCAACAGAGCCCACGTATGCCATCAAATATCTCACAAAACTAGAATTACTCCCTCAAGGTTTCGTTGCCTCGGGCCGACCAGTCAAGTAGCAGCTTACATCCAAAATGTCATCACTTCATCATTTTATCCTTTGAGACATTTGTGGGAAATTGTCATAATTACCACATGAATTACGCCCAAAACGTGTTTCGTGAGGTAACGGTGACCTATGACTGCCAAATTCTAATCAGTTGATACTTGAGTCCAGGTGGACGTTTGTGTGGGACGTGATGAAATTCCTTCCAGGCGTTCCTGAGATATCACATCCGGTATCGGACTGGCTGTGTTGCACACACACTTCTACGTACAGAACAATGGCAGCACCATCATCACTACCAGCTCTCCGAGATTACACGTCCCTCTACAGCATTACTTACTGCACAAGTTCACCTACCTACCCGATGAGAGCCTTCCAGCAAAACCGCAGAGAGCACCACTAGTCCGCCCACTTTCCACTGCATCAGACCCCCCACTTTACTGCCACATCACTCACTTTGCCGCCTTTCTCAGTCGGACCGTGTCCAAGCCTCACACGACAGATGAGATAAAAAAAATTTAAACAAAGTTTGTTATTATTCAGCTACTCCCAAGGAGGCACTGTAGGATAATTTATTCATTGTAAGGAGACAGCTTCGAAGAAAGCTTGAACATCTAAAACTCTCGTCCTTGTTGCCTTTTTTACTAATAAATATTCATAAGACTTTAATCTCTTCTGTTTTGTAGTGAAGCGGGCCCCTCACTGCAGAGGGAAAGATGTATGTATCACACACTTAAACTCTAACTAAACAACACAATTACACTAACCGTGTGCTGAGTGTGTATTGATGAGACCAGGGGAACAATAGGAGGACTAAAGCACTCGGGCTAATCTGAGTCATCAAGCCTCCAAGGACAACGTTGAAAATTGAATTAGAGGGGGAAGTGACACATTTGACTCATCCCGCAGTCTACGTTTACATTAATATAGGTAGCTGGGCTGCTTTTAGAATAGATGAGTCAGTGCTCTCACACACACACACACACACACACATACACGCAAACACACACAGTGAAATAAACATGAAAAACCTTGATGCTGTCGAGCAAACCCTGTGCACCCAGTAAAAAAAAAAAAAAAATACACCAACACACACTCTGATCAAGTGGGAGGCAGCACAAAGGAGGGGGAGGGCGGTTGGGAGAGGGTGATGTCAGTGAGACTGAAGGATCGAGCTGCTGACGTCTTGTCAGAAAGCTGGTTGTTTTACGGACGTCATGACACGCATCCACGAAGATTACGTTTGCAACAGGTTTCAAATGAGCCTCACACGGGAGTCAGAACAGGGAAATAAACACACTGAAAGTCTGCCTTTGTGAACATAAACCATGCAGACACCATGTATAGAAAATGGCAACATTTACACTTTTAGTACGCAAGATTTAAGTACTAGAATTTAAACTGCTAAAGTGCAATTTTGAGTGACATCGTTGTTTCCATTTTATGCTGCTTGCACGTACGGATGGCAGCCACTTCCTTCAGAGAAATTGGATTCAACAGTGTCTCGCTCAAGGCCATGTCGACATCAAAACCGCCAACTCTGCGGTTAGCGCAGACGCTGCATATATTTTCCTCATTCCAGAACAAAGCATAAACTTTTTATTCCGTCACATTTATTTTGACAGAATATCTGAACCAAGTAAGCGATTAATCAATTAGTCGATCAACAGAAAATGAATCTGCACCTATCTTCATAATTGATCAATCGTTAGAATACTTTTCTGGTTCTAGCTTTTCAAAAGGAAGGATTTTCAGCTTGTATTTGTCTTATAGGATAGAAGACTAAATATCTTTGGATTCCAGCAATTTGAAGCTCCGGGTAAGTTGCGATGAGCATTTTTCACCACTGCCATTTTGTAGCTAAATTTGATCTTTTTTTAAAATCAAGAATAAGTAATAGTTGTAGTCCTTTCAGTCAGATATAGCCAACTAGTTACATTTACATACAAAACATACGGTAATTGAACTATGATGCATTGTTATAGAATAAACTACCCGACTGTGTATCAAGTACAGTAGTTCAAATGATTTCCACATCGACCAACTGCAGCATTAAAAGGCTGCTTATCTGCATCCCAAATACTACTAGTATTCAGTAATAATAGGACAATATATAACACGCTAAAAAGGGGCTTCTGCATAAGGATTATTTCTTATAAATACCTCCACACTTTTAATTCAAGTCAGGGATCTCTTCTTCCACTTTTGTTTATTTCAAAATAATACTAATTAATTTTGGGTTATCAACTAATGTTTGTTATTTCAATGATTAGGCCCTACACCGTGTGAGTTTGTTTGAAATAATGGAGTATAATGTATTGTATCTTGGCAGTTAGTTCTTCGGTTCCTGAGTACAGCCTCTACAGTACATTACAGTCAGTACAATGAGCTGGCTCTATTTTATCAGTCAAATGAATTGAGGTGGATTGTTTTTTTCTGTCTGCAGTCTCTGCTGTGGCTTGTTCAGTGGCCTGCAGGTGACGGCACTATTCGCAAGTGACAGGAGCTGAAATGGACTCAAGCCAGCTTTTGTGTGTGAGCAACGGACAGAATGCTGACTATGAGGAACTAGAACCCCTTGGAGAGACAGCGCTTTTGTGTTTGTGTGTGTGTGTGACAGACGGAGAGAGCAAGAGATGCGGAGATACAACAGAGACGTGTATGAATTTCTATTTCAGTTCTATTCAAAGTATCCTTCATAAAGCTTCTCATCACAGCTGCACCAAATGGCCACAAGCTGTACGGTGACGCTGTTCAATTACAAAACACAAATCCTTAAAAGCGATGGAAGTAAACCGCAAACAGCTTGCTCGTATTTACCAACCCAACCGGTCTGTGGCACATTACACCAAACAATACAAAAGAGAGGAGGGAGGCAACAGATCTCACAGTCCAGTTTTGTGTGGAGAAGACTGCTTGCTCACTGCTGTTAAGGAGACAATCTGTGTCCGCATGCTGCACAGTGCAAACTAGCAGCATGCAAATATACAAGTATGTGCAGTCTCAATACTGTCTTGTATCCATCCACATTGTTTTGTAAGTAAGATAAGTCCTCTTCTCCTGAGCCACTATATGGACATTTTTGCATTCATCTTTTTCTTTTTTTTTTGAGGCCCCGTTGCTTTAAATATTCATCAACCCCAAACAAATGGACAAGAGGTACGGCAGGGTGAGAAGTGGATCTTCTCAGTGGCGTGTCTTATCAGTCAGTGCAGCAGGTTGCTCAGAAACTGAACACACACACGCGTACATTCAGAAAGGCCGGCAGGCTTTGTGCTTCCGCGGTGCTGCAGTGCCCTTTGGGGAGGCGGGGTGGTGGTGGTGGTGGTGTTGGGGGGGGGGGAGTGAGAGGAGGTATTCAGGTGGATCATGACTTTGATCCCTGCGGCAGCCAAATCCTCAAGCCTCCCGCTGCTGGAAGGACATGAACATGCCGTCTCTAACATCTGCTCCGACAGAGATTTACCACACAAGCACGTCTGTGTGTAGGCGGGTACACGGTGCGTACCCGCCTACACACACACACACACACACACACAAGACCTATGGAGCAAACTTGCCCACGTTTTTGATGAGAGCAAACACATGCCCACACACACGCAGACCCTCCCACACCTCTGAAAAGAGCTTCTGAAAAGAATTCAGATAGAAGGCTGCAGCACTTTGACACCAAGTCACCACACCCTGCCTGTCTCTTTCCTTTTCAGTCTCTGATCCGCGTCTTGTCCACTTTACCTGCTCCATCCCACGGGACGCCGGGGAGGCAGACAGGCGCTGTCTGCTGTCACAGCATGCACAGCACTTGACAGCAGTTGTAGAAGCCAGTGACCCATGCACCAGACCCTGGTCGCTTTCCAACTGCTCAAAGGGTCTCTCCTGGAACTCCGCACAGGAAAATAACAGCTTGCTGCCTTTTTTTATGTTTTTTACAAATATCTTGGTGGTTATAAATAGCTTGTTTATTCTCTAGTTTCACTATTCCCTTTGGATCATGAGTTCAGAGAGGTTAGTGGGGGATGCTTTCTAAGAAATATCCAAGAAATACGTTTGGTGCAGTGGCCAGAAATACAGCATCAAGTGCTGCTGTGCAGAATATATGAATGGATATTATTTACATATCAAGTAATTGTTTGCTTTAGGGGTTGATTTCGCACAAAGGGCAATGTAATCATGGCCATTTGCAATGTAATTAAATCCAGCCGTTCAGCTCATTTATATGATGAGTTTATGATGCCCACCACATATTATCTTAATTGACTGTCAGAGTAATGCTCATTGACAGTAAAGCATCAGCAGGCATGGATGAAATGGTTATTTTTTGTTCAATTGTCTTTAACACGTTAAATAGTCAATCAGCTGCCGATTTTATAAAAAGACTATTGCCAGAAATGTATAACTACTTGAAGGAATTGGCAATTTTTTTGTGCAGTAGCTGTGAACGAGGAGATGACATTTCTGTGCCGAGTCCTGGTGGAGAAGTTATGAGACAGATCTCTAATTTTCTCTATCTGCTTCATGTCATCTGCTTAGTCCTGCTATACAGCACCAGTGCTTCTGTTGGTGCCAAAAGATTCAAGCAACCACATGACTGAAAATCCTATGAATCTTGCTGATGGCAAACAATAAAGCAGAGGATCCTTTTGTCAACATTAGAATCCAATTTAAGACTGCAGCTACAGGCAAATAAACTCTGTGAGCCGTCACTTATCTGATTTTAGTTTGTGATTAATATCTATCTGTGCACGTCATTCAGTTTTCTAAGAGGTAAACACAGGTGCTTTGTTTAACCAGAGGAAATGTATTTGATAAATAGCGCTGTCACTTTGTACTGAGAAAGTATCGGGACACAAGCTGCACAAACGCTTGCATGTGCAGAAACAAACATGCATGCATCTATTTTAGGGTTAATGACTGCAGGTATGAGTGATAAAGCCATCGATCTGAGTGCTACGGTCAACGGAGAGGGAGGGAGTCAGACGGCACGTTCCAATCCTCAGAGACTCTGACTGCCATCTTACATTACTATCAATCTTTACACTGAGACACACAGCACGGCATCGATCTTCCCACAGACAAAAGAGCAGAAAAAAAGCACCTCTGTACTCCACTTGGGCCCAACACATCTGCACGAAGACTGACTGACTGACAGATGCACATGTGAAAATAAGTGGACACAAAAAAGAAGCGAGGAAAGGAAGATAACAGATAACTGCAGTCACAGATCTACAAATCACTTTAATCCACTGGTCTGTCTGTCCCTTTTATCTGAATATAGATGTCCCTGCGCGGAGTGCTCCAGGGTTTCACTGTCCACACATGAGCGGGTAAAACTGGTGCATGAAGCAATTCATATAGAGAAGCACTTTTTGTTCACAAGCAGAAAGGGGCCGCGCAAATAAACAGGAAGGACGACAGAGGAATACATGAGGGGGCACGGGGAGGGACCAGATCTGCGGGAGAAATAGGGGAGATATAAGGGAGACAGAGGACGTGAGTGAAATACATTCGAGCTCCAGCGAGACTCTAATCTTATATTGCAAGGATATTAACATCTTAATAATGACCCATTAGGCCACACATAAAGCAATCACAGATAGCCATGCGTGCAGTTCTTCAAGCTGAACAAATTAATCTGACATGGTTTGGTGAAATCTAAATTGATAAGAATGAATTAAGGCAGGCAGAGGCTGAGAGTGATGCAACACCTGTGGATCGAGGTACCTGAAGGGAGAGCACTGCAGCCACTTGAGGGAAAGCAGGGCAAAAAAAAGGCAGTACAATCAGCCAACAAGGGAATATTCCACAGAAATAGAAATAAAAAGCTGCACACAATCATCTCCCCCCCTGTCCTCATATGGACAACAGTTGAGCAACCGGCAGCTGCATCTCCATCCTGCGGCTAAACCGGCATCCATGACGCCCCTACATGACCGAAGACATCTTTCTATGACCTCATCCGAAACTCACCAAAGTTTGCTGATACTGAAGCGTCCGGTCCTCGGCCTTGTCCTTCACCATTGTCGCAATATCCTCATCACGGACACCCCGATCCGAGAGACTCCTTGCGGGAGCAGCAAGTCCACAGCCCGCTGATTAATCTGCGGAGGACCGGGCCGTCACATGTGCAGCGTGTAACAGGTCTCTTATCGTGAGGCGTCCTGCGCTATGCACAGCGCCGCCGCGATGCGATGTGCGCGCGTGTGTGTGTGTGTGTGTGTGTGTGTGCAAGATGAGAGTATATCGCCGGCTGCCGACTCGCAGCAGCGCTCGTGCGGTTTGACTGCAAAACACCGCCTCCCTCCTCCACTATCTGCACCGTCCCCACGGTCTCTCTGGAGTTACGAATGATGTGATGTTTTTTGGTTTGTTTTTTTGTGCAGAGGCGCGTGCAGGTGCCGGTGTAATGAAAAGCCTATTTGGACAAATGAGGATGTGTAGTAGGACGTGTTGCTCTTATTTATTCTGGCGTGGTATCTCACAAACTGCGCCTTGCTCCCGATTTGAGTCATCACTGGATTGATTCAAGTGCGATGAGTAATTCATAAGGGTGAGGCGTATGTCAGGCAGTTTTACGGCTCCGTCAATGTCGTAAATGCATTTTTACAACAGCCCTTTAGTAAGTAAATAAAAGACGGTGGCTGATCATCCATTAGTGACTTAGCCAATGCCGTTTTTCATGTGTCTCACTGTCATGTAACGGTATAGTTCCAAGTGAAGTGAATCCAGTGTTTTGTACAATGAGTTTATCATTTTCTGGATTTATTTCCAGATAATATTTCTAAATCTAATTCCTTTTATTTTATTTATTTTTCGCTTGTGACTTGTTCTTTAAAGGGGCAGTCGCTTTTCGTAAAGATGGGTTCTCACAAAAGACACGTTTAATAAAGACTGCATGGTCAAAGTCAATGCAGCAGAAGCACAAGAAGAATAAGAAGATGTCCTGACTTCTAGTTCCTGAATGGTCATCCTCCAAAAACGATTTCTCATAATGCAACTCAATGTATTTATTTACACCCTTGAAGGCTTGAAGTTTCACAGCCCAACTCAAATTAACTCTGATGACGATTCATGGCAAATGACCTAATGTCATGTTTAAAAAGCAGTGGAATGGTCTTTTAAAAGCCCTCGTGTTGATACAATCTGAACTGGAATATCAGCAACTCTCTTATCTTTTTGTTTCTTTTTTTGAAGCTGTCTGGGGACAATATATGAGATCACCGAATGATTGATAGCATGAAGAACAATACCAATGTGGCGAAAATCTAAAGACTTCCACTGGCTTGCAGTTTACTTTCTCTCACACGCACAGAAAACATGCAACTCACCTGGATGTGACACATAGCTATAATAAATTAAAGTGAAAACCTGATCTGAGTGGTCCCTTTTAGCAATAGCCCCATTCAGGGTCAATGAATGAGAATATGACATCTACACAACTGAACCCCTATATGGCAGATTTTGGACATCATCAAAACACCAAATGAGGGAATATCATGTGGGAGATGGTGTTCATCCCTCTAGCTCAAAGACGGGTAGAATACAATGTTAGAATATATGCATTGCCTCATATTCACGTGTATTTAGGAGAACCAGTCTTCTACTATTGGCTGCCAAATGTCCCCGTAAGGGGCACTTAGTAGTAAGTGCTGTGCTCACGGCCACAACAACAGTCGCCGTTGAGGCTAATAAACCATAAAACTTCCTTCTGTTAAATGCGTGCGCTTTCAGGATCACTTCTCAGGAGAGATTGCATCCAGCACTGAACGCTCAGACGTGAAGTGTTGTTACAGTCTCAGATCGCTTCCTTTCCTCAGATGACACATGTATTACAATGCTGTGAGCTCATCTCTCTGGGCTTTCACTGAAGGCTTTTCAGAGGTGCTATACTCACTGGCAGGGAAATCTATCGCGCTGAAAGATGCGGTGCCAAAAGAGACTCGCACCTGAAAGATAACCACTGTTCCAAGGATTCACTGCTGCTTCGTCGGGATGCCAAACATCCGTCATGTTTGCCAGTAAGCCCTCAGTCGGTCTGGGAATATAGGAAATTCAAATTCTCAGGAGTTCAGAACTTTATCAGGTCTAAAGAAATAATGCTTATCTTAGCCACCAGCATTGTTTTAAAGTTGTACCACCAAAACAGCAGCTCACTAATGAATTCATGGCGTTTTACAATGTACCTTGTCACAGGCCAGTGCACATTTGAATATCAAACTCTCTGATCCTTTACAGGTTAAAAGACTTAACTCCTCTGGGAGTCCATGCCTCTGACTGGCTGACAGATAAAACGGGCACAAGACTGCAGCTGATTGGCTGTTGGCAGGGCAACCAGTTCAAAGCGCTGGACCACCGGCACCAGAACCAGGGCCTCCGAGACCGCAGAGTGATTTCCCCCAAAAGCACTCCCCTCTTCACACATCTCATTAGTCATGCACTCCGGGTTTATACACACCTACAGCCCGTCCTCACATCATCCCCCCTCCCTTTTAACTGAGGGTAAAGAGTGTCAGCGACTTCATTTTATCAGGGAGCTGGCAGCCACAGACAGGCAGGGGTACCGGGGCCCCGGCAGCAGAGGAACTGGGTGCTCTGCAGCCCCGAGCACCGGCACACTGGCCCACATCTTTCCATCTCCACAGGACTCTTTAGAAATACAAACCACCCACCACTTAATGGAGGTTCGGTTCCAAAATACAAGAGGAAAAACAACATGTCCCCTGTCCCCTGTGACAGTGACAGTTCAGAGTAGAGCTCAATGACCACATGATGAGAAAGCATGGTCAAATAAATCCATTTGCAGCCCTCATTAAAAAATAGTGTGAAGCATTTAAGGTTTTGTTTAGTTAAGTGTTATGATTTGTGTGTCACTGTAAGGAAAGATATGTCTTAAACTCAAGGAAACCAGAGAAATAATCTCAGACTATGTCTTTCTTTTCATTATTTGTTATGACGGACATGAAGGCATCAACCTTATTTAATCTGACATACTATAGGCATGAATGTGCCCATCTTCTCACACATCTATTTGACTGCGATACATCCACAGTATTACAAGGACCTTGAGTCCTTGCGCAATAATGTACAACCACCTGTGCTCCTGTTTTGTGTTACATGACAAGTTGCGGTCATTCCTATTAGCTTCGGCTGACAGAAAACATTTAACCCGTCGGAAATTACCACAGAATTACACCAGAACACCAGCAAATTCACCGTTTCCCAATCAGACCTCCAATTACCATTTGCCCTTGAGCCAGATGTGGGCAAAGTTCGGGAGACAAGCTCAGATCAGACACTTTGGAGATTGATGCATATTGTCAGTACGCAGCATACTTACGGTTTCCCCCCCGAGTCTGCTTGCCTCCTCTTTTTTTCTTCTTCTTCTTCTTCTTCTTCTTCTCTCCTCCTCGGGCTACGGATTCGAAACCGTCAGCTGTGTCCCTCCATTGCGCCTTGGCGGAAACAATGAGTGATATAACGGGGCACACAGCTACAGGTTGCAGCGCACACTCAGTCGATGGTGTGATCGGGCAGCGGATGACTCCCGGGGAAAATTACACTTCACTCCGCCGAGGAAAACAAATCTCAGTAGATACCAGAAACTGGCCCGTTGCAATCCCTACAGCGCCCGCGCAAAAGTTGTCAACACGGCGCGTAATTACCGCTTTTGCGCCTCCAGAGCAGCAGCGCACATGCGGAGCGGGCAGCTGCTGGTCGGCTTTGGAGACCGGGAGCGACAACAGCCGGTCGTTGGAGAGTGCGGCTGCATGGGATTTGCGAGGCAAAACTCTATGACAAGATGCTATACAGTCTCCTCGTCGGCTCCAGCTGAGGTGGGAGGGAGACAGCGGGGTACCGGGTGTCGTGTCCGTGATGCAATGCGGGTACAGTCGGTGCCATCGCCCGCAGTTTTCTCTTTGTGTGCAGAAATCCAGGCGCACCGGTCATTATCTGCGGAGCCGCGGCGCACATTCGTCTCAATTAACGGCGGTCGGGATTAACTGCAGAGGTAGCATGTGTTTAGTGTTCATGCTCTCTCTCTCTCTCTCTCCCCCCTCTCTCCCTTCTTGTATGTCACAAGACGCACTCTTTGGCTCTAATAGATGCATGCGTCTTAATCATGGCACACATAAACAGCTGGGCGCACACCCTCAGGAGGAGGGCAGGGTCTCAGTCAATGTCCAGGCTGGGGTGATGGGGTTGAGCACGTGCATCTCAAATTATGATGGATGGTGCATTCCCCTTATGGCTTCTCTAATCCATGTCTTTGACAGCTGTTATACCTCCTCAACACCCCCCAAACAGGGACAATTGAATTGGAGCGTCACCACGTCGTCCAGCTGCGGCCCCCATGCATTAAAACAAGACGGATGATTTGTTTGTATCCGGGCAAAGACCGCTTGATCACTTCTTCTTCATGGGCGAAGGCCATTAAATGATCCTCGAGAGGGCAATCACGTTGGCAGTGATTTCACCTTGTCCTCCCTGAAAAGACCACAAGTCTGTGAGAATACATGAAGCAGCTTAGTCAAAATGTTACATCAACAAAAGTTACAAAATAAAGAAATCTTGGCCCGATTTGGACCCTTTTAAGCTTTTGTGAACCTTAATGTGAAAGCAGTCTGACCTGCTGGTACATTAACAACCTTCTACATGGGATTGTGAGTGTCTGAAATCCCCAAAAGACAATTTTCGAAGGCACTTATCTGCATTATAGACACAGCTAAATCATCACAAACAGGATACACGCGCACAAGCTATATATGGGCTGTGTATACCTCTGACACAAATTTTGTGAATTATATGAACCCAAGCTGCTACTGCTATTGGTTGGAGCAAACCCTGACAAAAAAGCAAATAGCCTCCGGCAGTAGTGACCGGATTCGATGTCAGCTGTGTAAATGGAGTCTGTCACAATAATAAATCATTAACCTTTTTAGTCAGCAAGTATGCTGTCCGCTCAACACTCCGAAAGTCAACTGTGACCCAATGAGAAGCAAAATAGTGCAGCTAATCAATGAAATGCCATTTTGTTATGCTGCGCAGCAGGGAAGTTGGAGCGCATCCTGCTCTCCGGCTAGATAACACTCGCACTTCCCACTACTGAATGAGAAAGGTGGGAAATCAAGCGGCGAGAAGACAAAAAAGGACACACAGCTCCTCTGCACTGGACACGGGGGCATTTTCCACCTGGCACATTTCTGAATGGAGCAAATGTCGATTCCTTGGGAGCGGCCGAGGAGGGCATGGCTTTAAGCAGTGAGTAGTGCGCCTAAAAAGTTTGACCTGTGAGAATTGAGTGCACTTGTTATGAGCGGAACAAGCTGGTTTGTGGCGCCTCCGCTTCAGCGTGTGCTTACGTGTTCGTCCAGGACTCATGCTGCTCTGCATGGTATCCTCGAAGGTCTGGGACGCTGAGACAAACCCATCGATTTTGTGTGTAATAAGGGCGCCAGGAGGGCTATGAATGTCATGGCTGGCTTAGAGAGTACGCTGGTGAGGATATGATTGTCACAGATACATTTTCCCAACATTTCTGCTCCTGCTGGGGGTGATGCATCTAACCCTCCTGCCTGTCTGCTGTTACCTGTAGTCACCCATCAGTCTGTCTCTCTGTAGTCCACCCATTTGTCCGTCTTCTGTCACCTGTCTCCTCCCATGCAGAGTGGCGACTGTAATGGCTCCACAAACCTCTCCACGCCGGTTCAGCTACCATGTACTGAGCTTCATATGGCATCTTGGGGAAACAATTCAGTATGTTGGCACATGTATGAGTCCAAAAGCCTCTACCACAATGGCTTTCTTATTAGCTTACTATTGGTGGAAGTGGTTTATCTTTTTTTTGTATCACCTTCTAAAAACATTGCTTTTCTTTTTCTGTATGTGTGGGTTACCGCAGCACCAGGAGAAGAGAAGAGACATAGTTGCATCCTTGAGGCTTCTTCTCCAAGGTGTGAATGTTTTGAAGGCCCCAAGCCAGCCAGGATGTGCCGCTTCGCTGCTGCAGAGACTGAAGAAAAACATCAACAACTACCTGCTCATTCTCACACACCTTCAGCTGAGTGTACGCAGCGGGCACGGTGACAAACTGCATGCAAGCAAGCGCACAAGCACTGATTTTGGTGATTAGTTGGTAAAAAGATGTGCACATGTCGAGGCTATAGTTGCCATAAATCATCTGCAAAGTTTCTGGACGTCTCGGATACTTAGAACGATTTAAATATCGGTTATTCAAAGTAGAGACGCTCCCGTATGCGCATCAATGTAGACAAGGAAATGCTTTTAAAAAGCCGAATCTGTGAAACGTTATTGTCTGGTTTGCCTTTTGACCTGTAAACCACCAAATCAAAGCTAACCAGGCTCAGTCTGTCTTCCTCACCACTCGCACACAAACACGGCCAAGGAAAACTAATCAGTGTGTCGATGAATGTTCACACAAACTGAGTGAAAACGTGTTGATGGGCTTCTCTCTCACTGGTTTGCATCGGATTCAGAGGCATTATCAGTTTCCTGCGGTGTGGAAATATCCTGCTCTCACATACATCTGTGGCTTTCTGGAGTATCCGTGCCCGAGAGTGATGATGTTATGTTGTGTGAGCCCCAAGCCTTCCTTCCTCAGGACGAGAAGAATATAGCGATGCATACTTTCCCAGTGAGACACAGTGCAAGAGGTCCTGTGATCTTTGTTTTTACATAATATCCTAAAGTTAATTTGAGGGAATTCTGCCAATAATCAGTTTTTATAAGTGTTCATATCAGTAAATAATGACATTTTGAAAATCTGCGTTGGGTGTTACGTCACCCGCCCTTGTTGGTTAAATTTCTAGTCTCTTCTTTCGTTGCATATTAACTGAATTAAAACAAATCAAAGTTACTTAAGAATGAGGCAGACTGAAAAAGTGTTGCATTTCTAGTATGAATTTAGTGAGCAAATTACATTTATTTTCAATGCACTTTTAGATAGTATCTGTTTACATTTTTATTTTTTATTTGCTGTAGATGTGTATTTTATGTGTAGGTATTTTTGTGAATTTCTGTAAGTCGCTGACGTTTTTACAACACGATATATTGATGTGAATGCTGTTTATAAAAAACCTTGCAATAAACTCAGATTTCCTACTGCCACATTTATTTTATTTTATTGAATACATATATATTTTTTTTCTTTCTTTTTTTCTTCTTTTATTTATTTGTTTTTTTTGGTTTAACGTTAGTTAGTGATTAACGTATATATTTTTTTACCACTTATTTGCTAGTGTTTTCATCAGACAACAACAAAGTAGCAGGTGTATTAATTAGGGAGAAGCTGTAACTGATTGGATGAGCCCAATGCAAGCGACTACGTCATTTGTTTTATTAGCAAACACTCATTAACGACAGAAGGTGATGAACCGTGCTCGGTAAGTGAGCCGTGCGAAAGCTAATGGCGGCTTCTCCACTGGCTAAACTTTGATTCGGGTGTTCGCAGGAGTCTCCGTAGACACAGATAAAGAACGGTTCCTTGCGATAACGAAACACGTTTGGCGTTTAATTACGCACGTGCGGTTGAAACCTTTCAGGTGACGCCACCGAGCCGTTTCACCGTTAATTAAGTTCCCACTAACTTGACCGCCATGGCAGAAAAAACTCCTCTTCTACATTACCGACTCACCAGCAGCGATAGTCCGCCTACGAACGATGAGTCCACGCACAGCGGGGCCAAGGAGGGCAGAGACGGCCGACGGTCCAGGGACACCACGGCCCGGAAGCTCGGGGTGGTGTTTGGCGTGGTCACACCTACTGTACTGGCCATGTTCAGCGTGGTTGTGTTTCTGCGGATTGGTGAGTGACGCGAGAGGGCAAACAACTTTAATCTTAAATATGAAAGACTTTAAAAAAACTAAAACGCAAATGGACAAATCTCATAAAAAAATGTCCTTCCGGTTCAATTTGAATCGAGTTGGTTGTTTGGTTTTTTGGTCAATGCTAACAAGAGAGTGAAATAAACAGCTTAAACCTGTCATAAAATGACTGTTTCCCAGGACACATCTTAGGGTTGGACCAGTACTGTCTAGAATCCAAAGATATTCAGCATATGATGAGTAACTTTATTAAACAGAAAAGCAGTAAACTCCCTGAACATCAGGTTTGAAGGTAACAGTGATTAGAAAATGTTCTCCTACCGCTTGCAGGATTCGTGGTGGGTCAAGCGGGGCTCTACCAGTCCATCGCCATGTTCCTAGTGGCCTACTTTATCATCACCATGACCGTGCTGTCCATCTGTGCCATCTCCACCAACGGGGCTCTGGACGCTGGAGGGGCCTACTGTATCCTTTACTGCCAGGGCCCTCGTCCTTTTTGTACCTAAAGGCCCACTATTGGTTGTTAAAACAATTCTGACATCTTCCAATATGTATGAGGAGAAAAAAAAAGAGAATATACTGGGCTGTGAATATGTGTTATGCCACTGCCGGCTGTAACGACCAAAATAAATATTCTGCTAGCCCTAACCCATCACTGCCTGCCATTATGAATGCATTTGGCTCATATTTCCTCATCACACGCTTTGGAGCTTTATAGTGCAGATTGTCTCCTACATCACCTTTTCTTAAAAAAAAAAAAACTATTTTGTGTCACTTAATTTGAGGAGTCACTACTAACTGATGATGAACGTGTGATTTGCGTTACTTGTCATTGAACTTACACTTTCTTTAAATTACAATGCTTTTTTTTATTGATATGAATTATTGGGCACATTTAGATATGAAATAATTAACTTTGTAAATTACCAAAAATATATATCATACCTAATTACCTTTGCATCCCACCAGTGGATCCCGGCCCAGTGGTTGAGAGTAGCTGTTACCGCTGAGACTTATGCTCTCGCTTAAAAGCCTCACTTGGGTGTCTGTGTGTGATTAAGCCCGACTAATGGATTGAGAACAAAATGTGTGCTCTAAATTTTGCCTCATGTTTTGCTTTATCCACCAATGGCACAGGTTCCTTCTTGGTGTAAATCTGACCCTTTGTTTATCATTAACAGCCTTTAAGGTGCGATAATGTTGTGTCCAGTCTTAGTTTACATTTATAAATCTGGAGTCTGAAATCCCTCAACTTGGATCCCCAGACATGATCAGCCGAGCCCTGGGTCCAGAGTTTGGCGGCAGCATTGGGATCATGTTTTTCTTTGCCAATGTGTGCGGCAGTGCTCTCTATGTTTTAGGTCTGGTCGAGGCTGTCATGTCTACCTTTGGCATCCCAGAGGGTAAGGGACCTTTAGTTAATTACATCTAGGCATGTGGGTGTGTTGATAGATATAGATGTATATACACGGTACAGAAAGTATTCAGACCCCTTTAAATTTTTCACTTTGTTTCATTGCAGCCATTTGCTAAAATCAAAAAAGTTCACTATTTCTCATTAATGTACACTCAGCACCCCATCTTGACAGAAATGTAGAAATTTTTGCAAATTTATCAAAAAAGGAAAAACTGAAATATCACATGGTCATAAGTATTCAGACCCTTTGCTCAGTATTGAGTAGAAGCACCCTTTTGAGCTAGTACAGCCATGAGTCTTCTTGGGAATGATGCAACAAGTTTTTCACACCTGGATTTGGGGATCCTCTGCCATTCTTCCTTGCAGATCCTCTCCAGTTCCGTCAGGTTGGATGGTGGACAGCCATTTTCAGGTCTCTCCAGAGATGCTCAATTGGGTTTAGGTCAGGGCTCTGGCTGGGCCAGTCAAGAATGGTCACAGAGTTGTTCCGAAGCCACTCCTTTGTTATTTTAGCTGTGTGCTTAGGGTCATTGTCTTGTTGGAAGGTGAACCTTCGGCCCAGTCTGAGGTCCAGAGCACTCTGGAAGAGGTTTTCTTCCAGGATATCTCTGTACTTGGCCGCATTCATCTTTCCTTCAATTGCAACCAGTCGTCCTGTCCCTGCAGCTGAAAAACACCCCCATAGCATGATGCTGCCACCACCATGTTTCACTGTTGGGATTGTATTGGGCAGGTGATGAGCAGTGCCTGGTTTTCTCCACACATACCGCTTAGAATTAACGCCAAAAAGTTCAATCTTGGTCTCATCAGACCAGAGCATCTTATTTCTCATAGTCTGGGAGTCCTTCATGTGTTTTTTGGCAAACTCTATGCGGGCTTTCATATGTCTTGCACTGAGGAGAGGCTTCTGTCGGGCCACTCTGCCATAAAGCCCCGACTGGTGGAGGGCTGCAGTGATAGTTGACTTTGTGGAACTTTCTCCCATCTCCCTACTGCATCTCTGGAGCTCAGCCACAGTGATCTTTGGGTTCTTCTTGACCTCTCTCACCAAGGCTCTTCTTCCACGGTTGCTCAGTTTGGCTGGACGGCCAGGTCTAGGAAGAGTTCTGGTCGTCCCAAACTTCTTCCATTTAAGGATTATGGAGGCCACTGTGCTCTTAGGAACCTTGAGTGCTGCAGAAATTCTTTTGTAACCTTGGCCAGATCTGTGCCTTGCCACAATTATGTCTCTGAGCTCCTTGGGCAGTTCCTTCGACCTCATGATTCTCATTTGCTCTGACATGTACTGTGAGCTGTAAGGTCTTATATAGACAGGTGTGTGCCTTTCCTAATCAAGTCCAATCAGTTTAATTAAACACAGCTGGACTCCAATGAAGGAGTAGAACCATCTCAAGGAGGATCAGAAGAAATGGACAGCATGTGAGTTAAATATGAGTGTCACAGCAAAGGGTCTGAATACTTATGACCATGTGATATTTCAGTTTTTCTTTTTTAATAAATTTGCAAAAATTTCTACATTTCTGTTTTTTTCTGTCAAGATGGGGTGCTGAGTGTACATTGATGAGAAATAAAATGAACTTTTTTGATTTTAGCAAATGGCTGCAATGAAACAAAGAGAAATTTAAAGGAGTCTGAATACTTTCCGTACCCACTGTATATACTATTTGACTGTCCCTTAGAGGGTGCTGCAGCTGTTGCAGGTCCTCATCAGGTGCTGCCCTCTGGATACTGGTGGTCTCTGCTGTATGGCACTGTGTTGCTCTTCCTGTGTTTCATTGTCTGCTTGGTGAGGATTCATCATTTTCATTTTACTTCATTTTTCTACTGTCTGCTCATCTTTGGCTTATACAAAGAGGGAGGTTTGTGATTTTATCTTTCTGAGAAATATTCTTTGCTAAACACATAACCATTTACAATAAAAGGACTTTTGAAGTCCCAGCTGGTATCCTGTAAATGGGGATGCACCGATGAGACTGTTTCAGTCCAGATACCGAGTGTGATACCTGGGCTTTGGATATCGGTGGGCACAGAGTACCAATCCAATACCAGTGTTTAGTTAATGAGCTCCATGCCTCACTGTGTGGAAGTGACTGGCATCATTCCTTTATGTGCAAGACAACATCAGGCTTCACTTAAACATTTCTTTCTTAACTGTAAAACAAAATGCAACACATGGATATACATTCGTTGAGTTATTTATTATAAAAATAATACATTTTGCATCAGCAATTTGGTAATGATCTTCAAAATAATCAGGGATTACTATCCAAGTGTAAACCTTTTTAATGCAGCAACAAATGAATTGGCCCTGTTCTCTCCGATACCCGATCTAGTTATTTGAGTCAGTGGTAGCCTGATATCTAATATTGGTATCGGCTGCACCCCCACCCGTAAAGGTGTTGATTACATTGCACACGTTTAAAGTATTGGTTTATGAATTCAACACTTATGAAAGTTATCCTACTGCTGTTAAATGTGAAGAAGTGTAAAGTTTGTCCATACTGCAGCATTAGAGGAAAGGCCATAAATCATAAGAATTGTCGTCGGAGCGAGGAAGTCTCGTCTAGATGTTTCTGTCTATTCCAACAATTTCTCTGTTTAAATAAAGCCTTATCTTATCTAATAAGTTGTGTAAAACATAAGTCTGTAGTTGATAAATTTAACTGGCTTCTCATTACAGGTCGGTACCCACATCTACGCAAAAGCCACCTTTATTATCGTCATCATAGTCACAGTCATTTTGGCCATCGTCTTCATCAACTTTTTCGTTGTGGGGCCCTTTGTGGTGGTTCTGCCAGAAAGTTCTGGTCTCAACCGTACCAGCAGGAGCACCGCCAATTACACTGGCTTCCGCCTCCACACCTTGAAGGGCAACGTATTGCGTAAGTAAGAAAAAACAGCCTTTATGATACTAGCTCTGATTTGTTAATTCAGGACTTTGATTATTTAAGCAGAGGTTACAGAATGTACTTAACATGCTGGACATCCATGTTTGTGTTAGTGATCCCTGATATGTATGCATGAACAAGCCTCCTGTCTCTCCTTCTAGCCGATTACACAGTGGACTACACCACTGGTGCCACCATGAGTTTTGCCACAGTGTTCGCTGTCATGTTCAATGGCTGCACTGGGATCATGGCAGGCTCCAACATGTCTGGTAAGATGTTACAATGGTTTTAATAATTTAAGATTAAGGGCAAACAATGGGTTTTTTTTTTTTGGTTTTTTTTTTCAAACCATTTGTTGATTTTAGAAGGAAAGAACCCAGAGCTTTGTCCCAGTTCAGGGGCTGGGCTAGCTGAGTCTCCCCAAATCAAAGGGTCTGAGGAGGGAAGAAAGCTACATTTCTCAGCAGCATTTGGAGAAGAGCCTTTTAATAACCAGTCAAGTCTGCTCTAGAAATGCAGACTTTGGTGGCTCCAGCTCCTGATTTTAGAGGCAGCTCATGTGTACACATTGTCTTGCAAGGCTCAACATTGACAGAATTTCAATAAGGTGTTTAATAGATTTTTATTTATTTATTTTTTTAATGTTGAAGAAATTTTGTTGTGATTTCCAGGCGACCTGAAAAACCCCAGCTATTCCATCCCAAGAGGAACGCTTGCAGCTGTTCTGACAACTTTCATCACATACAACCTGCTTAGTCTGCTGGCTGCGTGGTCCTGTGACCGGTTAGAAAACACACCCAGTCAAACATATGCAGTAGTATTGGCACAAATAAATATCTGACCTTAATCTATAGAAACATCACCAATACTGCTATGGTGACTTTGTTATTTAATGGAGAATTTACCATTATGAATATTCTTGCTGTCGTTTTTTTTTTTTTTTTTTTAAGAGATGTAATATCTGTTTATTTGAATTAGTTTTGTTTGTACACATGTCAAGTGATTGTAAAATGTGGTTTTATCCATTATCCTTAGTCACCTCCTCCAAAAAGACTACAGTTTCCTGGGAGACATCAATATATGGCCGCCCCTAGTGACGATTGGGATTTACTCGTCCGCCATGTCTGCTGCCATGAGTAACCTGATAGGAGCCTCCAGGATCCTGTACGCCCTGTCAAAGGACTGCCTGTTTGGTGAGATTCTTGTCCTGCTGCCCAATGTTGACGATTTGTTTTGCCAATTGTCCACAACATTAGGAATTTCATATGAAAGAGTTGCACATTTTTATTTGTTTAATCTGATGTGGCCTCTGACCGTATCGGTAGTAAAAAGGATTTAAATGGTAATTTAGCTTGTTTAGGTTATTATCGGGGCTACATAGTTGATCCAGAGTATATGAAAGAATATCCAACTCCAGCTGGTCTTCCACAAAGCTGAGTCAACATTTAATAATCAGCCATCTGTTGAAAGAGGCCTACCATCTGAAATGTGAGAAATTGACACTTTTTTATTAATTTCATCATGTCTCGTTATCCAAGTGGAGGCATGTTAATTTCAAAGCATCGTTTGACAACAGATGGCTTGCTGTGTTGCATTTCTCTGAAGAAAAATAAATAAATAAATCCTCTCATTGTGTGTTTGGCTTGAGGACAAATTTAGGATGAGTCAGTTGTTTATCTGATTTAGTAGCATGAGCAATAACAGAGTGACTTTTGCCTTTGGTAATATCTACAGGTGGTGTGCTGGCTCTGGCGAAGAAAACGTCTCTGAGTGGGAACCCCTGGGCCTCGGTGCTTGCCTCTTGGCTGCTGGTACAGGTAGGCTAGTACACTGTATGCGAGGGGTGGTGATGCATCACATTAGCTAGATAGCAAGGTTTGTGACATCATTCCTACGAAGTCATGGGCATGTACAGTGTTGATCCAAACCAGTTAAGCTGTTCATCAAGGCGGTTTTTATTGGGGTACTTTTGTAGTCTAGTTATGGAGTTCTGTTGTTTGTATACATTGTTCTCGGTAACACTAAGGTAGTGTGCGTTAAAGTTTGCACAATTTCATCGCTAGAATTATTACCCATTTTAATTATCAATGTTGAGCAAATTGTAGCTGCAACCTGAATGAGATCTAAGCAGCACAATAATCCAAATATTGATTAGACATGTAAGCCAAATGAATGTTCATTTGTTCCACTAGGTGGTGCTGTTCGCTGGTAAATTGAACACCATTGCTAGTATTGTAACCATCTTCTTCCTGTTGGTCTATGCTGCTGTGAACCTGGCCTGTTTGGCTCTCGAATGGGCTTCTGCACCAAACTTCAGGTACGGTGCAGGGTATCGCCAGGCTTTCTGTGTTGGATTTCATTTGCACAATCGTGGTTGAAAAGTTCATCTACATTCCATGTTCTGTCATTGTCTTCATTTTTTGATTCAGGCCCTCATTCCGCTGCTTCACATGGCATACCTGTTGTCTGGGCATCGTTGGTTGCCTGGTCATGATGTTCCTGATCAATGCCATTTATGCGTTTGCCAGCATTGCCTTCATGCTGCTGCTGTTGCTGCTTATCCACCACCTCGGTCCCATCAGCAACTGGGGCTACATCAGTCAGGCTCTCATCTTCCACCAGGTGTCACAAACAAGCCCTCTGTCTCACTGACGCAACAATACGATGCAAGTTTGCACAAATTGCTACATCATCACATCTTTATTCACTCAGGTGCGCAAGTACCTGTTGATGTTGGATGTGCGTAAGGACCACGTGAAGTTCTGGAGGCCCCAGCTGCTGCTGATGGTGGCAAACCCTCGCAGCTGTACAAACCTCATGACTCTCATCAATGACCTGAAGAAGAGTGGCCTGCTAGTACTGGGACATGTGAAGCTGGGTTTGCTGGGTAAGAATTGTCATTGGTCATGCTAAAGCCAAAATTGAAGTTTTGAGAGGTGGCTTTTTAAGCGTTAGTAGCTATAGCCTTTGTTGTTAAAGTATAGCTTGAATTCACATCGGTTCCAATGAATTCTAATGTTGACACGTTTTCACAGTGAAGGGAAAACGTGTCAAAATGCACATATATACTTCTTACCCGCTAAGTATGCTTCATATCAGTCCTACTTTCACCAACATATACCCAGATACACTGCATCCTTTTGCTTACACAGGGATTTGCTCATGTTGGTAACTTGCAACAAACACACAAAGGTTCTCTTTCCTATAAATTTGACATTTTGTGTGTGGTTCTGTAGATGGGCTGCCCTCTGATCCTCTGCCGAGCTGTTACGACTCGTGGCTTTCTCTAGTGGACCATCTAAACATCAAGGCATTTGTCAACCTTACCCTGTCAGACTCAGTCAGACACGGAGTTCAGAACCTGCTTTTCATCACAGGCTTTGGTAAGCAAGTTTATATTGCTGCTGTATGAGGATATTGGTTTTCCATCATTGAACTGTGATTGTGCTGCTTACAAACTTTACAGTTCTTATCCAAAACGCACATTTCATACATCTGTTTGCATCTAGGCGGAATGAGGCCAAACACTCTCGTCTTGGGATTCTATGATGACTGCACCCCTCAAGACGAGCTCCAGGGTAAAATCCTCCTGTCTGCAGGACATGGCTTGGATACAGGCTCTCCGTCCATAGACCCCCGAGAGCAATGGTCTCCCTTCTTCCCTAATGTGCGCTATCCTGAGGAACTCAAAGACCTTCCGGAAGATGAATATGTGTCGGTGATTGCTGACGCTGTAAAAATGGGGAAGAATGTGACACTGGCTCGTTACTTCAACCAGTTCAACCGCGAGGAGGTCTTGGAGTCGGGCAGAAAGATTGGGGGCCACAGAAGCACAACGGGACCATTTGTTGACGTGTGGCCTCTGAATCTGCTTCGACCAGACAGCCGCGGATACGTCGACACATGCTCACTGTTCCTTATGCAGCTGGCCTGCGTGCTCCAAGAATCCCGTGCCTGGAGCCAGGCAAGACTCCGCCTCTTCCTGTGTGTGGAGGCTGGTTGCAGTCTGAAGGAAAAGGAGGTCGAGAATAAGCTCCGGGTGTTGCTGAACAATCTAAGGATTTCAGCTCGGGTGCAGATGGTGGCATGGGACCAGGTGGTGGCGCTGCACTGGCAGAGACGAGGAGGAGAGAGCTGGAATCTGGTGGAGTCTGCGCAGAATGATGAGAGGAGGGAGAGACGAGAGGAAGCGGAGCAGGAAGATGCTATCCAAATGTTCCCCAACAATGATGCTCTGCTGACGGATGAGTATATCTGCGCTGTCAACCATCTGATTCGCACACACGGTGCCCCTCAGCCTGCTGTGCGCTTCCTGTATTTGCCCCGCCCACCAGCAGACACCAGCCGTTATCGGGCTTACTTGCACCAGGTTGACGTGTTGAGTCGAGACCTGGGCCCAACATTGCTCGTTCACGGCGTCACTCCTGTGGTCACTACTGACCTCTAACATTTGACTCTGAATCCATCAACAACCCTGATCTGGTATGGTTGGTCTATGGGATTGTGCCACTTGTAATACATTTTTTTTGACCTGTAATTTAAACTATCAACCACAACATAAGACCTGACCGAACCAGTTTTATACTTGAGTCATCCCCAGACTGTGCATTTATACAGTTTGTCTCCCTTATGTTATAAAGACCTTTAGGCGAAATGGATTTGATGACCTCAAGTTTACTTCAGTTGGATATTGAAAATGACATGTTGTTTTAAGCTGTTTAGTCATCACTTGGAGGTGGGGCCACAGTGGTATACAAATGTAGGATTTGCACATTGTTGGGTGAAAAGAGGAAAAGTCCTTGCAACTCACTTGTAGATTAAATCAGTTTGTATTTTGCCACACGGAAAGCACTTGAACATTTTTGTACATGTAAATCGAAAAATGAATTAAATTGTTATCTTACATCACATTTCTTTCCTACAACTTATTTATAAATGAGAAGAGAGATTTACTGCAAATTAATAACTATCGGTTAGTAGTAGGTATTGTCCAATTTAGTCTATTTCGAACACCGCTGAGGTACAGAGTCCTGGCTGTTGAATGCCTGCAGAGGGCGATGTATGCCCAGTGTCTTGGCAGTGTTGATGTGCTGTACAAAGTCTGCCTCTACTAGGCTGTTGGTGTACTGCAGTAATGGTGTCAATGCCAGATTATAAATATGAATCTGTACTTTAAACACATGTAAGTTAATCAGATGTTTGACATGTTTTCTGCATCTCAAGCTAGCACCCTAACCATCAGACTCCGACCAGTACTGGTTGACCTGTTGCTGACGGGCTCTCATGCTGGACTAATAAAATATTTTTTTGTCAGAATTAAAACATGTTTGGAAGATGGTTAGAGGCAATTGTTGCACATGAGTTTGTGTTGTAAATGGGGCTAAATTAATTAAAAGAACGGTGAGACGGTACCTGCTGATGAAGAGCCGACGCCATCTGTGGCGTATGTCACGTTTGGTTAGAGAATATTCCATGAGTTAGCACTTCAGAGTATCGACACCCGCCTTCATGTCACTGACGACCCGCATGTGGGAAGGAGTGTGTTCACAGATGGGGGCAGATTGGGCTCCAAGAGCTATAAATGGATACCACGTTCACAGTCTAACAGGGAACATGAGCATCTATGATGTAATGGACTGAATCTTTCTTGTCATCTGCATAGTTTTAAAGACTAACTTTATTTTGGAAATCGCAAAGAATCAATGCAGCAGATGCAGGAAGACTTGCTGAGACCGGCAAGGCGTAATGAACTGTGAATATTAAAATCACGGTGACCCTCTGCTAGGCTTGTACTTGTTAATGCAGGGTTTACCAGAGAACCTCCAGGGAAGAAAACGGCACGTGTATTTGTTAAAAGTTAAATGGACAATATAAAATGAGTATAAATAGTTAGGATTAATTCAAGGCAGTCCATCAGTGATTTTGGAGAAGGGAGGTGGAAAACAGTGGGTTTTTTTTTTTACATGATAGCTTGACTGTCTACCTAAGACGGTAGTTCATTTAGAAGGGATTGAGACATTAAAGAAGAGCTATTTTCAATATTCATACATGTTATTTCTATAGTCTCAAAACAAAAATATTGGTAAACAAATAAAGTCTGTAACTGCTCCATAGACAATTAATTTGGAAAGATGTTCTAGATAATCTCTACATTTGTTGTCTGAAGCGTTCTGCTTTCCGCTTGTGGTCTATTAACCAATCCCGATGAAGCAGGCTTTGGTTGGATGCAGGTAAACAGTCCGTGTGGAGAGCTAAACACACGGAACGCATTGGCTGGAATGCAATCTTGGAACCCACCGGCTATTGTCTGACGATGATTTTGATTGGTTTAAAACTAGCTTGTGCACTGGCTACTTGTGAACTAATCTGGTCGTACACATCGTCTCTAAACTCCAACTCCAGCCTCGCATCTGTAATGGGAAAATATGTCAGTCTCATGTGAAGGTTTAAAGAATGTAAGTCCTAAAAGTGCAGACACCAAACGGTAGTTTCAGTAGATGATTTTAATTAGTTTTGTATCCAGGTGTCTTGTTATCTGTTATCATTGTGCACTGTTTCTTTCTTCGTAAGACAGAGACACAGAGAGGCCTTGACTAACAGAGATCCTTTGTCTGAAATACTTTTACTTCCTTTATGACGCATTATCTGAAGTTGTAAAGGCGTAAACCTTTGCATGCATATATGATGTGTGAGGGTAAATGTCTATTCTGTCTCTGCAATGGTCATCTTAACAATGTCACAGTGGCCTCAAAGGAAGCATCTGCTGTGTGTTTAAACGGTTTATTGTAACGCAAACTGTGAACAAAGGGATCTGCAAACAGGAGATAAAGCGCCTTCCTGTTGTCTTAAATGAAGTATACTCAGGCTCGAAGGATGACCTGCCTTTTTCTTCGTCTCCTTTGTGTATTCTTGTTAGCTAAGCAGATAACAGGAAGCTGTCTGAGCATAAATGTCCATGCATTGTGACTGTTTAGGCAGACCACTCTTACAGATGACTGCAATGTGTCTGTGAGACTGTTCTCTTTGCTTGCAAGCAAATAAATTGACTTTACAAACTTTGATTGTTCATCAAGACTGTTTATTTTACATTGATTGGAAACCTTCACTTTCTTCTCCCGACTAATCATATGAAATATTCCACAACACATCACAAGTAGCTCATCAGATTGTAAACAACGAGCAGCGCACAGAAAAGGTCTGGGCCCGGTTATCTGCTGGCTCCATCAGAACCCTAGAAATAGAATAGAACTCCCAGGCTTTGGAAATAACACAGGCCTTGGAATTCTTAATTTGGGTGGTGTTCCCCTTTAATTTCCCCTTAAGTACCAATTTTGACAAGGCAAACCTGCCGGCCCTTTTAATTATATTAGAACTGTCTAGGTATCTCTTTTCATCAGGATACCGTTTAGGACAAAGTGATTAATTAACACATTCTAAACCTTGCTTTTGTTTTACGAGATGGATAAAAATGAATTCACATCACCCATTCCATTCAAAAGTGAGAAAAGCAATGGTGTCCATTTATCACCATTGAAGAGGAGCTGAACAAGAGCTCAGTTCGAGGTCTGAATTTGCACTTGTAGCCTGCTGACTAATGCCTGATTGATTTTGATTACCGTGTTGGGATCCTCTCAGACTTGAGACATGGAAATGAGTCTGACCTGCAGGTCATCATGAAACATCCACTGATCAATAGGAGGGATTTAGCCATTAAAGGGCTATGGACATCCTGTCACAACATCAATCTGATTTGGAGGAATGAAACACTTCTCTGAACTGCTGACCTTTTGGATCATTCAGGTCCTCCAGCGGACTGTGACCGATAAAATTGTTTAATTTAGCCACAAGATGTCTGTACTTAGCCTTTCATATCACTTGAGAAAAATGCCTTGTGTGATTTTATTGGCGTGAGTAATTTGAACAAATGAACAAGCAACCATCATGGCATCACACTGTAGCAGACTATGGAGACGACTCAAGGCTTCTCTAATCACCGTTAGATGTAGCCAGTCAATACTTCCCCTTCAAACGGCAGCGCCTCGGCCCGAATGTTTGTCATAGTGTTGATGCTGAAAACTTCTGCTACATTTTCAAGACATTAGGGCCTAAAAGTGGGAATGTTTGGGAGGATGTTTGTTCAATTGACAGGTGTCTCAGTTTGGATTTTCTTGCTCCGGGACTGACAACATGTTGGCAAGCCGTGAACATAATACCAGGCTTCATACTTCACACTTTCTACAGTCTGATGTATAAGCTGTCACCTGGTTTCGCTTGGCATGAAAAATAACCTGACGAATACAATTAATCGTTGGCAGTCCGGCATGTTGGCGGCGGCAACAGCTCCAATGTACCTTCTGACAAAGAGACAACGCCATCTGCTGCTTTGCGTCACGTTGGCGGCAGAATTCCACGGGTTTTGATGGAGTACTGACTTGCTTCATGTCACTGACAAACTGCATGTGGGAGGGAGCGTGTTCACAGTCTGGGCTCCAAGTGCTAAACAGGGAAACCACGTTCGTAGTTATATATATATATATATATATATCCACGAATATAAAAATATTTCTATGGCTCCCAAAATGCAGTTGTTTTTTTTTTTTTTTTTTTTTTTTTTTTTTTTTTTTTTTTTT